ATGAGGAGGAGAGGTGTGGAAATAGGGGCAAAAGTGCCTGACCGACAGAGAGGCTTGGGGTCAGACAGGGTCTGCATGGGGGAGGCTTCCCAACATCCTAACAATCCCCCCCAACCCCAAAGAAAAACCTCCCCCACTCACACCCAAACCCAACAGGCTCATTCCTAGGCTCCTTCCCCCTCCCTCAGCTCTTCCGTTACCCCTGACCCCCCCCAAAGCCTTTGCACTGCTTCTGAAAAGTGCAGGAAATACAGTTCTGTATTGTAATTTAAATGAATTACACAAAGTTCTGTATTAATATGCCTAGTAAGGAATCTATTTGTCAAAAAAAATTACCAGAATTTTTTTTTGGTCTGTATTGTTACAGACATACTTGCTGACAGATATTTTGAAATAAATTACCAAAATAATTGTAACTGGCATGATTATGTTACGCTATTTTGACAATATGTAGAATTTTCAAATATGTGCAGAATTTTTAATTTTTGGTGCAGAAGTCTCCCAGGAGTACAAAATGTAACTAGAGGACCATGTTCATCCCATCTTAGCTAATCACACTGACTTCAGTGGAATGACACCTATGATGAGTTTAGTCCAGGAACATGGATTTAAAAGTCTCCTCTTGGCTTTTTCTGCTTCATCTATTTTGGGTTTTCTGTTAGAAGGTGGATCTATCATCACCCACTGCTACCATCAGATACTGCCACATGGTACAAACATAAAGCTAGTGTCATAATAAACAGTACTAGGGTCATCATTTATCTTCAGTTTCTAATGGTACCAGTGTGTTTTACAGCATCTGAGCACATTACTCAGAGTTTGTTCTTACAGGGGAAGGACGACACATTTGGAGAAATATGAGAAATGCTACTTCACAGAGCTTTGAGATGAAGTGTGAGGAACAAATCCAACCTCCCCACACACACAGTGAAGCACCAGTCTAACACTCCTCTCAGTGACTGGTGTGCAGGTGAAGTTCTCTGGCTTTGTTTAAACTGGAACTGGATTAAAACAGAGCCAGTGGTTCCAAGTATCGAATTTCAGTATTTGACAAGATATCAGGACAAAGCTGAACAGGGGGTAGGAAAATAAAGGACAATTTACTGAATGTCTAGTTGTTTGTATTGATTTTTTCATTCTCTCTTTCATTTTTATGTCCTCTGCTCTGCTACTATTCTCTTCTCCCAAGTCTCCCAAACTTTCCCTGTAGATCCCTCCCACCACTTTTATGCCTTCCTATCCCTAAATCCTTCTCTGGTTCCCCCTTCTTAAAGATCATCTGCCTTTGAGGATCTCAAAGCACTTTACAAACATTAATGAATTAAGCATCACAACATCTGAGATCCCCCATAAGCCACCCCCAAAGTCTGTGGCAGAGAACTCAGTTGTCTCGGACTCCCAGTCCTGGGCTTTAGCCTACAAGACCATCCTTTGCTCTGTTTTGTCTTAGGAGTTTAGTTAGAATGAAGATTGACATACTTCTGTTCACCTTTCAACACCCACCCAGATAAAACAAGACTCACCAGTGATTTTTGCAGCATACCATATTCCATCATGGTGCTTTGCCAAGCAAGCTGAGCCCACTTCTAGAGAGCTGAGATTGGGCTCCTGAAATGGATGAAGCTCGTCCATAGATACCACTTGCCCATGGGAAAACCTGCAGGGGATATAGGGAGAAGCAATCAGATCTGCCCTTGTTCGAAGGGGATTCTAGAAAAAGTTTCCTTCCCTTATGGAATTATGGGCAAATTGTCTGCATCGTTCTCACCAATAACTATGAAGATCTCACCACTAGAATAGTTTCAACTGCATAACTTATTCTTCACGGTGTCTTAAAAAGAGACTGTTTTATAGCATTATTGTGTTCTATTAACCAAGTGTCACATTTGACCCCAGAAGCGGCTGCATTTCATGGGCCAGTGACAAATCCATTAAAAAAATGACAAGGCTCACATCTTTTAGGATGAGATACACTAGCTAAATGCAAAGTTCTTATTAAGATGTGGTATTTTCCCTACAGTAGATTTTATTTTTTTCCCTCTTTAGCCAATATTCCATTTAGCTACCCAATATATTAGAACTAATCCTTGTACTTTTTCCTCTAAGGATTTTCCATTTTCTCCATGGGTTAGCTGAAGGAGTGTACGCGCACTGACAAAGCACAGTAAAATGACAACACTTTAAACAAATAGAAAGTTGTTCGGCAAAGTTGCAGCTGATTTAAAAACCAAGTAAGGTGAGATATTTACAAGTGAGAAGTTGTTCCCACGGGCTGACATTGCCACTAACTGCCCTCTTACTACACAATGGAGATAAGCTTTTTTACCGACAATTCTCTTTAAATCTGCATTTGCCATCCAAGAAGAATGGACATGGCTTCAAGGACTTGTGAGTTGGGTAGAGATACAGCACTCTGACTCCTGCACTGCCATCTTCCAAACACTCTGTCCCCACAATCATGGCATTATGGTACTCCAGGGTACCCCATGGACTGTAGTACGGGGCTTTAACCTTCATCCCACTCACTTCCTCCTCCTCTTCCTCAGATGCTTCTTCCTCTTCACTGTACTTTGATTCATTTTCCCCATCTGCCTCTCCATCTTGCTTTGGAGAGGCCTCATCTTCAGTACTCAATGGCTTGAGTTCAGCAATAGCTTCCTTAAAAGCAGCATACTCCTCATCATTGCCAGACCTGCCTGAATTACTGTCCTGTTTTAGGTGACCTCCTGGAGAAATGAAGGGTGCATCTGTGTCTAAAGTGGCCAGTAGTTTACTCTTTTTCACTGACACCAGGCTGGATTCAGTGAGTTCTATCAATTGTTTCAAATCCTCCTGCAGTTGGATCAAGTCAGACTGCTGTGATGGATCCAGCCCCGCCCCTAAAGCCAGCTCCACTTGCTGCAATTGTGCTTTATAGGTTTGAATTGCTGTTTCCAGACTCTCCTCATCCATTGTTATCATGCAAAAAGCTGTTTTGTTGATTCCTTTCTGGGAATTCAGTACATACTCAAGTAATTTACTAGACAGTGATGTGAAACATTGAATCTTTGTCCCAACTAGTTGTCAATCTTCTTGGTGGTCCTGTGTTTTCTTCCCTTTGGTGCAACCAAATGAAGATCACTGCAGTGAACAAATATTATAAAGCTGTGTTAGAGAAAGGGTTCACAAGGAAGGTAGCCATCCTAAATTGAACAAGGCATCTTTAATGCAGACAGCTACCACCATGTGGCATTATACCCACCTAGCACGAGTCATGTACATTCAACCTGATACATCGCATTTGCAAAACAGAGAATTAAAGTGCAAACTGTTAAGCTTTTAACTTAGCTCAGCGAATTCAAGCATATGTTATCCTCTCTTCATAACTATTGCATTGCTTCTCTGTCCCTTTAAACCTGCAGCCCCATGACATAACACCATCACTGCCTACCTCCTCTTTAATCCTATCTTTCCGCACACTTTGCCTCCCACTCAATGGCATGCAGCATCTCACCTGCTATGGAACTGGGGGCAAAACCACCTGTGCTGCTCTCAACCTGCACCTTTCCAACGCCTCCCACGCTCCGCAGGCCCCATCAGGAGCCCCACACTGCTTCCTATTCACTGGGGGCACAGAGTCTACCCTACCACCTAGGTGAGGCGCTTAAAATCCCTCTCCCTCATTGCCTCCCACTCACTGGGGTAGAAAACAGGGGGAACAACTGCCAGTACTCCCCAAGGGGACCCAGTACTCCCCAGCCATGGAGACCCCAGGGGAAGGGTTACTTCCACCCCTCCCATTGAGCCCCAGGGGAGGGGGCCACTCCCAAACCCCCCAAGGGGGCCCAGCCCATCGACCCATCCCCAGCCACGGAAACCCCCACCCTGATGGAAACCCCCACCCTGATGGAACCCCCGGGGGGGGGAGGGGTTACTCCCAACCCTCCCAAGGGGGCACAGCCCCTCCCCAGCCATAGAGCCCCACCCCCAAGACCCCACTCACCTCAGGCCTACGCCTCCCGCTCAGCCACCGCCACGGCACCCTCCATTACCAGGGTTTCCACCGCCCCGCACCGAGTCCGAACGATAGATACCGCCCGACTTCCGGCTAGATCTGACTTCCGCCTCGGCCGCCATCTTGGGCGGGAGGGGGACGAGTCCTCCAGCTCCGCCTCCTATAGGATTTCCGGCTGGCCGAGGCAGGGACGCCCACGTCACCTGGGCGCGCGAAGCATTCTGGGAGTGGTAGTCCACTAGGCCTCCTTCTTCCGAGCCGCTGGCGCGGGCCGTCTCAGCCGGAGGAACTCCGTTTCCCAGGGTGCCCGGCGGGACGCGGGTGCCGCCCACCCAGGTGGGGGGGGCTGATACAGAGCCGCAGCAGGAAGCGGGGGGCTGTGGGGCCGCCGAGACCCGTCACCCAGGTAGGGGGCGGGGCCTTCACTGCCCCCCCGCTCGCCACCGGCCGCGGGGGGCTCGGGGCCTGGCTCGCGGCCGGGGCCCGGGTCGAGCTGGGGGGGGCCCCGGCGGGCGGGGATGGGTCGATGGGCACGGCCCAAATCCCTGCAGCCGGAGCCGGGTGACCCCGGGGCTATGGGCGGGAGGGGGAATCACCTGGGCCCCGGCCCCAGCTCGGCAGCCGGAGCCGGGTGACCCCGGGGATGGGGGCGTGGGCTTGTGGGCCCTGCTGTAGACTCTGGGGGCTCTGTGAGATGCTGTGACTGCAGGCCTCTGGCTCCCAGGGAGAGGCCAACACCCCCTTGTCATAGGTGTGGAACGGCAGGCACCTTCAGTCATCGAGCTCAGCCTCCTGCCCTCACAGGCCGCCACATCATATCGTCCCGTTCATAAACTTGAAGTAAACTTGGCCTCGGTTGGGCGAAGCGTGTGTGCGCACCCCTGCTAGGCAAACCCCATGGAAGAGTGCTTGTTTGTACAGCAGGTTTCAGAGCAGCAGCCGTGTTAGTCTGTATTCGCAAAAAGAAAAGGCGGACTTGTGGCACCTTAGAGCTCACTATAGCTCACGAAAGCTCATGCTCAAATAAATTGGTTAGTGTCTAAGGTGCCACAAGTCCTCCTGTTCTTGTTTGTACAGCAGCCATCTGGCTTTGTCTGAGTCTGCCACCCTCACTCAGGGTACCGACTAGTCAGTTTCACGGTCTGGTCCTCATGCAGGTGGTGATGCAATGTGTATACTGCAAACACAGCAAGAGGAGGTCCTGCCGGGGAATGTTTGAATTCTGACAAGAAACTGTTTTCGTAGGTTTTTAAAACATAGGTCCTGTCTGCTCCGTGTAATCGTTAAGTGTGCCCCAGTATGTCTCATCAGAGTTAGGGGTTGCCCTCTTCATTCTTAGTCAAAATACCCCCTCTCTGCACATGTGTGGGTGCTACGCATCTGGCTGTCGCCCTTGCTTTGCGGAGGTAGCTACATTTCAGAGCGCTATCTAGACTAATACTCACGAGTGCTCAGCTCCCATTTAGTCACCAAAATAAGTGGTTAGATTTTTCAAAAATGGTCAGCGTGAGGGGTGCACATTAGGTGCTGAGCTCTTTGGAAAATCTGGCCATCGGTGTCGTGACAGAAGCTGCTGGGCGCTGAGCGTGTTTGAAAATCTGGGCCTATTTAGATGCCTAAACAAGAGTTGAGCTCTCTTGAAAATCCACCCCCAAGTATTGAGTTTGAGCACTTGGAAATCTGGCCTTGAATTCTTTTTAAGGTCCGTCTCCTAGAGTCTTTGAGTTGCTCTGTGATCCCACAAGGTGAGGTGCTATATAAATATAAAATTGTATTATCATCTGGCAGTGAACAAAATTATACAGTTGAATGGGAGGCCCTGGGAAGACTCATTTGCTGATGTCTTGATATTTGTTGCAGGAGCAGGATGTATACACTGCTGTCTGGACTTTATAAGTACATGTTCCGTAGGGATGAGTACTGCATTTTGATCCTTGGGCTGGACAATGCGGGGAAAACGGTATGTGCTTTTAGTTACCCGTTAACATGGAGGGCACATGCAGCCCCACTCACTCCTCCCCAAAAACACAACTATGTTAGCACGGGCCAATTTCTTCCCTGGTGTCACTTCAGTTGTTTCAGTGGTGTTATCCCAAGTATGAATTTGACTCCCACACATCTAATTTTAGTACAATAAGCCTTCAGACACACACCAGCATGGGCTTCGCTAAGCGCATAATCACCTGTGAACTCTTCCATGGCTCTGTGCTATAGTGGAAAACTAAGGTCTGTGTTGTATTCTAAGATTTCATGGTGAATCCTGATCCAATAGGGGGAAAACAGGTCTTGGATAGGATTGTCCTTGCCAATAAAGAGTATATAATAGTAGCTAGTTTTATTTCTTCTTCCCTTTCAGACCTTCCTTGAGCAGACTAAAACCCGATTTAACAGGACCTACAAGGGGATGAGCTTATCCAAAATCACTACCACTGTGGGCTTAAACAGTAAGTGAATCTGTTTAGAGGTTCTTTGCTGCCTCAGACAAAGTTAGACAACAAGTGATCATTCCAAGAGTTTACACTGTGAAAATAGTTCCTGATAAGAGCGACCCTACCAACACCCCCCCACACACACCTGCCCACGCATGCTTTAAAGAGCAAATGGACTTCTCCATCAGATGGAGAAAACATGCTGGATCTGAAGGCAAGTGTGCCTCATTTAGTGATGCTAAGCCAAATTCAGCACTGTAACACCATTGAAGTTAGCCTGATTCTGATCTTATTTACACTGGGGTAACTCCACTGAAATCAATGGGTTTGTATCTGCTGATACAAAGGTCAGTTTAACCCACTATCTGCCAATGATAGGTACTGCTATCCTGCTGAGGATTAACACTGCTCTTCCAGCCTGCCTTCCCTCCTGTGGGACTATGCATGCCTGCCTGCTTTAGAGAACAGTCAGTCTGCATTGTGTTATTTTTTCTTCTTTCCCTGCTCTAGTTGGTACTATTGATGTGGGCAAAGCCCGGCTAATGTTCTGGGATCTTGGAGGACAGGATGAGCTGCAGTCCCTCTGGGACAAGGTAGGGGAAATAACTTCTCTATTTTAAATGTTTTGTGTCTCAGAGTTGCAGAGAAACAGGGATACTTTATAATTAGCCAGCCCTGCTCCTTAGCACTGACCCTTGTGCTGTTGTTCCACTTCTCTGTTTGAGAGAGTCACAAAAATTAATATTTAACAGTTACACGTATAGTAACTCCTCGCTTAATGTTGTAGTTACGTTCCTGAAAAATGTTAAGCGAATCCAATTTCCCCATAAGAATTAATGTAAATGGGGGGGGGGGGTTAGGTTCCAGGGAAAATTTTTTTGCTAGATAAGACTATATTTTAATATATACACACACATACACAGTATAAGTTTTAAACAAACAATTTAATACTGTACACAGCAATGATGATTGTGAAGCTTGGTTGAGGTGGTGAAGTCAGAGGGTGGGATATTTCCCAGGGAATGCCTTACTGCTAAATGATGAACTAACACTCGGCTGAGCCCTTAAGGGTTAACACATTGTTGTTAATGTAGTCTCACACTCTACAAGGCAGTACAGAATGGAGGGTGGGGAGACAGGGCTGACCCCTCTCTAAGTACATTGCCTTTTTAAGTAGATCAGCAACTTGAGACAGCAGCTACTGTCAGCAAGCTCCCTCCATCCTGAGCCCTGTCGTGTCCCTCCCCTGCTCTGTGGAAATGGGGTAAAGTAGCAGGGAGGAGGAGGGGGACACCCTGACATTAACACCCCTCGCCGCCTCCTCCTCCTCCTCCTCCTCCTCCTCCTCCCCCCCCCCCCGCCCCCACAGCAAGCAGGAGACTCCGGGGGAGCAGTTCCAAGGCAGAGGGCGGGAGCAGCATATGGCAGTGTCGGGAGGGACAGCTGAACTGCTCAGCGCAGCTGGGCTGCTGCCACACAGGGAACTTAGGGGAGTGGGGAGCTGATGGGGGGGGCTGCTGGTCCACCCTACTTCCAAGGCCCCACCACTGGCTTCAAAGGGCTGCTCTTTCTGCAAGCAGTGAACAAAGCAGGCGGCTGCCAAATGATGTTACAAGAGAACATTGCGCAACTTTAAATGAGCATGTTCTCTAATTGCTCAGCAATGTAACAACATGAACTGGGACGACTTTAAGTGAGGAGTTACTGTAGATTTACAGACACTAACTACTTCTCACAGCACCCATGTCAGGTAAGTGCCACTATTCTCATCCCTATGTAACAAGTAGAGGAAATTGGGGCAGAGCTTAATTAACCCAGAAGTTATGTGCACAAGATCACAGAGTGACGTGGTAGTCTAGCTTGGATAGCTTCTTAAAAGATAGGTTATAAAGTGTAAAATAGGGATATTGATACTGACTTTCATTGTGTAGTGCTTCTCATCCATAATCTAAAAGTGCTTTACAAGAGCTAGGTATTATTGCTCCAACAGGAGTTACGGGTTTGATGCAAAAATTATTGGGGGAGCTTCTCTTGCTTGTACTAGAGGAGGTTAAATAGTCCCTTGTGGCCTTAAAAATCTGTGAAAGCCAGTATTAGAACTTAGGAATTTTTGGCTTGACCGTGCCTCTTGGTTATTACAGCACTGTGAAAAAGTAATGTCTGTAACTGTTAGCAGCAGCAGTCTCCATCCCTAAGAGCCCTGCGTGCTGGGCACTAACCTCTCCGGCAGAGTCCTGTGTCATGTTATAACCTACATTGCCAGGAAGAATTATTACATACCCTTCACAATAGCATCTGGCTGCTGTCCAATGTAAAATTGAATAAATGTACCCGCAGGTCATCCAGACAAGCCACCTTTACTGTTGGGTGTACTTGTCTGACAAACGGATCCTCATAGCTACCAGATCAATAGTTAATAGAACACTTGATTAAACACCCTTTGTACCATGCTCTAAAAGCCACCCAATCCACGCTGTGGTACTCTGTTGGGTGAGGCCAGCTCAACAGGTTCAAATCTGTTTCCTGGAATAAATGTAATGAGTTTTGTCATCTCTGTGTAGCCCTTTGTGAATTTGTGCACATCTGAAAACATCCGCACAGCTGAGTACCACTGTCAGGCTCTGCTTAAGAGAGCCTGTGGCACTGGACTAGCACAGGGTACTGTAAGTCGAGATTGAGATGTATTGGCAGAATTCAGTAGGAGGCCCACAACAGGAGGAGCAGGCAGTGCATCTTACCTGTCTGGATAGAGGAACTTCGGCAGATCTGCGTAGATGGAGCTTGCAAAATCAACTGCCGGGACCGTGCCTGGCTCTGGCTATTTGATCTTGGTCCATCTCTTTCATGAGTACCAAAAATCATATTAAATCCACATCAATGTTGAAAAGACAAGCAAGCATCCCCAACTGTTAGAGACTAACACCTGTGCTGTGATTTCAGTACTATGCTGAATCCCATGGGGTCATCTATGTTATCGACTCCACTGATGAAGAGAGGCTCTCAGACTCTAAAAGAGCTTTTGGTGAGTACGCTGGGTTTTTACTTGTAGTTATGTCCTTATCATTATATCCTGTGAAGACTTCCTTTTATCTCAGTCAAACCCCTTCCTGCCACTCTGATTGAAATATACAGTTGATTGTATTACGCATGTGACCACCTATGTGCATATCATGGCTTGCATACTTTGCAGGTATATGTTTTGAAATCAATGGGGCTGTTTGGGCGTGTTGCCTGTTCTGTCATTCAGACATTGTTACTGACAAAACCTTTAGTTGTAGTCGCCTTTAGTTCTCTTGGATCTTTCCTTGGTCTTGTTTTCCTTGTCTGTCAGCATTTTGTCCCTTATTCCAAATGTAGCAAATTTTTTATAACCTATCCAATTAATACCTGCATAAAATACTCAGTTGATCAAAGTAAAGGGTGGAAGTTGTAATGTTTTTGTGCCATGACTAATTTGGTTCTAGGTTTGATCAAAGTAAACAGTGATGCACATGGTGGCTTTCACTCCTGTCTATCCAGCCAATGTAATTTTTGTATTTGGAGGAGTCTCTATATGTTCTAGAGTTACCTAGACATTGCCTGTTTCTGTGCTTTACAGAGAAAGTAGTCACCAGTGAAGCTCTGGAAGGGGTTCCCATACTGGTGTTAGCTAACAAGCAGGATGTAGAGGTAAGATCATCTCCTGACGTTCCACCCCCGTAGATTGTGTTCTCAACTGAGCAAATTTCTTGCATATTATTTTAGCTTAAAAAAGGTGGGCCGTGTATTCACTCTGCATTTGTTTCCTGCTCTTAGGCTGAGCAATGGCAATGCTTTCTTGCTATTCGACGTAATTGCTGTGAATTTGATTTTTCAAGTATTTTCCTCTCTCCCCTCCCCTCCCCTCCCTCCACATTGTAAAATGACTCTCTAGCAAATATTTCCATCTTTGCAGTAGCTGTCGTGTACTTTATGTGAACACCAACACAGTACAGGGCTGGTTTTTTTTAAATATTGACCTAATACAACTGATCCAATTTTTGATGAGTAATAACACCTAGTGAAACTCGGTGCTCATGTAATCTCATACCGGTGTGACAAATCATGTGATGAGATGCTCTCGTTCTTCTTTCCTTGAACCAGACCAGCATTACTCAAAGAGACAGTCTCTGCTACAGTTCTCCATTGGAAAAAGCTGTGAATGGCAGAAGATTCAGCCTGTTTTTTCCTGGGTTTATAATTTCAAAACTCTCTTGGATATCTAGAATTACAGAATAGACCTACTGTAGTTTCAGATCAAGTTGTGGATACTGTTTGAGTGACAGTTTGCTGTTCTAAGGAAATGTAAGACTTCTCTCTTTCCTTTTTGCATATGGTCTACCTGGAATTCCAAGAGCTGCAGTAACATCTGTTATCCTCTAGAGAGAGCCAGATACATTTTAATAAAAAAGGAGGACTTGTGGCACCTTAGAGACTAGCAAATTTGTTTGAGCATAAGCTTTCGTGAGCTACAGCTCTCTTCATCGGATGCATCAAGTGCACTCCGCAGATCTCCAAACTTTGCCCACAGTTCTGAGCTTTTTAACTGAATGAGCTTCATTTTGAAATCTTCGACACCCATCCACTGAAATACAGACAAATCCAAGTCACTTTCGTTGAACTTTTCAGGTTTAATTAGAAAAGAAAGCACTGGGCCAAATTGCTGGAAATCTTGAAATCTGTCAGAAAATTCTGATTCCAGTTCTTGTATGAACATTCTAATCTCAACGTCAAATGCAGTGCGCTGTTCCATGTGGCGCTGTTCCATGTGGCAAATCAGGACTTAAAAATATCCCAGTACAGTGGCACTGGAACAATTTTTGAGGTGGGGGTGGTGAGCTGTGTCCCCTCTTGCCCCTGTCTGCACCCCTCACTGCCCCAGGCTGGGGCCAGCTGCAGAGTGGGCTGAGTGGGGCCGGCGGATGGAACCCCAGGCTGGCAGCGGAGCCCCCAGGACCGGTGGCCAGGACCTGAGCAGTGTCAGTGATACTGAAAATCAGCTCGCATGCCGCCTTTGGCACGCATGCCACCTTTGGCATACATGCCATAGGTTGCCTACCCCTGATCTAGAAGAATTAGTATGGGCCTGAGTGCCAGGGCCTCCTGAATTCTAGCCCTAGTTTTGCCACTGACGAGCTCTGTGACTTGGGGATGTCACTGAATCTCTTATTTCAGATTCTCTATCTGTAAAAGAAGCTGCTTTACTGTGGGGAAACTGGAATATAAGCTGCCATGAAACACTGTAATTTACACCAGGGCCCCATAATCCATTTCCATCTTCGCTCTCATATTCAGCCACTCACAACCAGTCATATACACTGGTTCCAAGAACTGTTCCAGTTTTCCCTGGCACTTCAGAGTAACAGCATTTGGCATTGTCAAAAGCATAGAATGCAAGTTCAATGCAAGTAGGCTGCACCGTGCTCACCGGAGTGTGGGACCCCACCAATGGTACAATACAGCTTCTCTTAATATATCCGATGCATAGTCAGTGCTAAGTCTGAAGATTCAGATCAGAACTTTTTGCATTTAGACTGGCTGAAAACAGACTGGTTTGGTGACAGAGCTATGTACTCACAGTTTCTCCCACAAAGATATTTCAAGTGGTTTTGAGTGGGAATCCCTAATGTTTAGACAAGTTTACATTTTTTTGATTGCTTATCCTAGTAAAACCTGCATAAATGTGAGCTTACGCTCTTTTTCCTGTGTGACTGGGGTGATAAAAATGTCAGTGTCATGGGAAAATTGTGAGGCTGAAACTTCATGCAAAAAACATTTTATTTTGGAAAACTGTGACCTGCCCATTTATAACGTATTCTGAGTATGGGCTGTGGTATGTAAATCTAGGGAGATGTGGTCATTGCAAGGGAATCATTTGACATTTCTGAAAATGAAGTCTGAAACCCCAGAGCTTTGGAGAGCCCCCATTTTTTTCTGATAGGCCTTACAAAAAGAGATGGAAGGAGTACTGGTGGATAGCTGTGTGTTCATGGAGGTTGGTGATCTTGCCTCGTAGTTGTTAGTGGTGCAGAATTTAGGAAATTTGCCTCTTCCTGCCCCTACTGGCAATTCCAATTTTTGATAATACCTAGTTTATGTAGCACTTTTCAGCAGTAGATCTCAACGTGCTTAATAAAGGAGGCTTGTATTAATATCCTCATTTTATGTGTGGGAAACTGAGGCACAGAGGCAGTGACTTGCCAAAGGTCAGCTAGCCTCTCAGTGGTAGAGCCAGGAATAGAACCCAGGTCTGAGTCCCAGGCCAGTGCTGTATCCACTAGGAAACACTGCATCCCTACTATTTTAACCTGTCCATAAAATAAGATTATATTCTAGGAAGCCAAGAATATCATGGCAGATCGGGTATGCTGGTCATGCATTTTCTTTTCTTTAAATGTTTCTCACTGGTAGCGTTGCTACCCATCCTGGAATTAGCAGAACAGTCCCAATCTTATTCCTATCCTGCTAGTCAGTTGCTCGTGAGGCATTTAAAGAGCCCATATTTATTTCAAGCATATTCCCGACACTGTGGCTCTGCGACATCACTGTCTTTTTCCAGTCAAGGACATGAAAATAGACAGGGTCCCTTCAGGTGCAGCACTTCCCCTGGAGCCCTCTCTAGATCCTTCATAAAAGGATTTAAGCCTGCTCCTAAGATTTAAAAGCAAGACCATTCTGGGAAGTGACTGTGTCTTGGAAACAGCCATTCTTCATAAAAGGGATTTTATGGAATTTACTGTTTATGGAGAGTTGAGATGCAGATTTATTCCTCAAGTGAAAACAGTTTCTGCAGTTGTGTGACTTTGCTTTGAAATAACTAATGAATCTGACCTTTCCAGGGCAGTCTTTGTGTGGGTTGTATTGTTGTAATGACATGCTATCCTGTGTGCTTACTGATCTGATTTCCATCACTTTGTTCTTAGTTTAGATGGTTTTACGTCAGAAACAAAATGACGTTCTAAAACATCTCTTTGCAAGCATGGGGGGAAAATAATCTTAAACTATGCTGACGTTCTCTCCCAAGCACAAAACATTCAAATGTGTCTGGCCGAAAGGAATGGTTTTCAGGATCCCAATTCATGCGTTCCTTTTGGAGGCTGTAATAAAGCAACTACTCTGTCAAAAGTGGTGTATCCTTGTATCAACAACCTACTGCTGACCCCGCTGCTGTTCTTCCTCTTGAGACAAAGTGTGATTAAATCCTCAAAGCAGATTCTTCATCCTAGTGCACTAGCTGCTTAATGTAATCAGCATAAACCCTGCCTTGGTTTTCCTCTGACCTGCGTTTCCATTGAGGGTCAATGATTGCCTGGTTCTATAAGTCACAATAAGTAACCATCATTGCGGGGCCAACAAGAAAGAGAAGTGACCGAAATAGTGTGTAAAAGTTGTTCCTAGCCTCCTGGATGACTACAGCATTCAAAACTACTATTGAGGTGGAGCCTCTCCAAGTTTGTTCGTGCCATGAGTGGTGAAAATATCTCCCCCCAAGTCCTTTGTAGAGATCTGGACACAGTGAAGTAGACTGACGCTCTGGGCCTCTACATCACAGCACAGAAGGGCTTCCAATGGCTAAACATTGAAGTTAATAGATCATGGAGAATGGCCACCCATAGGGGGCTGGTGTGCATGTCCGTTGGAACTACAGTGCTTTTGAAAAGCCTCCAGGCTGGCTATTTTGCACTGGACAGAGGGAGCAGCAGTGAAGATGGTCTTTATTTCTCATCCTGCTTTCTTTTGTTCTGGCCAATCCTCCAAAGCCTGTGAGTGGGAGCCTGGGATATCTTCTGAAAGCCAAATCAGTTTCCAGCTTATAGTGAGTCTAAGGCCACGTCTACACTACCCGCCGGATCGGCAGGTAGTGATCCATCTATCCGGGATCGATTTATCGCATCTAGTGTAGACACGATAAATCGATCCCCGATCGCTCTGCCGTCTACTCTGGAACTCCACCAGGGCGAGAGGCGGAAGCGGAGTCGACGGGGGAGCGACGGCCGTTGATCCCGCGCCACGAGGACGCGAAGTAACTGATTCTAAGTCGATCTAAGATACGTCGACTTCAGCTACACTATTCTTGTAGCTGAAGTTGCGTATCTTAGATCGATTCCCCCCCTCATAGCGTAGACCAGGCCTAATATCAAACTAACCTGGTGTTGTAGCGGTGTCCACTGTACCACCATGGTAAGGGTCAAGACTGTAAAGTCTTGTCCCTTCGGCAGGGGTTGGATGAGAGAAGTCACCACACTACTATTGTAGCATTGCCTCTCTGTTGAGCGGTATCAGATGGAAGCCAACAAGCAAGGCCTCAAGAAGTGGAGGAGAAACCAGTGATGCAGAGTCTGGCTATATTCCAAGTGTAATCTATTGACTGTAGTGACACACATACCAGTCCTGGATGACAGATGCCAGCAGTCTCTTCTTTCAGCAGTCTCAGCCCAGCACCAAAGCCTGATTCCCAGGGAGCAACTTTGCCTTTAGAATTGACTCGAACCAGAGCCCACAGCAGAGAGCAAATGCTCCTGCTTTGCACACCACTCTCTCTATCCCAGAACCTTAGGCAGCCACAATCTAACACGAAAAGAAAAGGAGGACTTGTGGCACCTTAGAGACTAACCAATTTATTTGAGCATGAGCTTTTGTGAGCTACAGCTCACTTCATCGGATATGAAGTGAGCTGTAGCTCACAAAAGCTCATGCTCAAATAAATTGGTTAGTCTCTAAGGTGCCACAAGTCCTCCTTTTCTTTTTGCGAATACAGACTAACACGGCTGTTACTCTGAAACCAATCTAACACGAGTATTTCTTCCAAGACAAAAGTTGCTTGCGCACAGAGAAAAAGAACTTGGCAGGCTGGGTGTAACAACAGCAGTAGGTGATGTCTGCTGTAACAATAGTGTGCCTTACCAGCCTGTTTGGATCAGGACAAGTGAATTCATTGAAGTCGGTATACCTTGGGCCTCGCTCGCTGGTGCGGTACAGTTAGAACGCTTGGGGTTGTGATGATGCGTGGGCTGTAGATGTACCTACGCTAGAGGGAGGGGGGAGATTAAAGGGGGAATATGCAGTTGAGAGGTAAAAGCCCCCTATTACTTAAGGCCTAGATCCTGTCATTCAGGAGAGTTTCTACAGATGGGGGTAGCAGGGGTGCATATGTGCATGTGCCCCCTTTGCTCTATCCCAAAATACTAGTCCAGGCAGTAGAACTGTTTTCTTCCCTGAGCTCCAGATCATAACACAGAGCATCCTACAGGGCCCTCTCGCCTCTTCACTTGCATCTTGCTGCTCCTTGGAATTTTTCAAAGATTCTGAAAAGTCACATCGGACATTATAGCCAAATGAGTCAGTGCTCTGTCTACCCATAAGCCTTCCGTGGAGAATCTGATGTAGCTTATCAAAACATGATAAGCTGAATGGTGTCCCTTCAACGTGAGTTACCTCAGAGGTTTTAATGTCCAGCAGCTTAGCATTGCAAAGTCGCACTTTCCAAATAAAAAAAAGGTCATGTTACAGTAAATACTACGCATTTCCTAGCGGGCATTTCCTGGTAGGCAGCGCTCTTCATCTTCACTAGTACGGATCTTGGCCTGAATTTCCATTTGTCAGGAGGTGATTAGCTCTGCCCTTCTCTTTGCTCAGTGAACATTGTGCCTGAGAGAATGCCTACAAAATCTGTAGGGGCGCAATCATTTCAGTGTGGTGGTGTCTCACTCACCTTCCAGACCCTCTGTTGTGAGTTCTGCCTCTCCAAGGGCCCGTCTGACTCACAACGCAGTTAGGGTTCGAGTGAGCCACACAACAGGTGACTGGACGTATCGTATTTACACGTTGCAGCCGATTAAAGAAGCGGAGAGTTGATTGTTATGGCTCCACGGCTGGCGAACTGTAGCATATGGTCTAAGCCAGGGGTCTCAAACTCAGTTTACCTTTGGGCCAATGCCAGTCCTCAAATCCTCCCAGCGGGCCAATGATTTCACTCATGTTGCCCAGAACTCGCCCCCCAAAACTCCAGCCCCTGCCAGCCTAAGGCTCTGGGAGGGAGTTTGGGTGGGGGAGGAGGTCTGGGGTAGAGGATTGGGGTGCAGGCTCTGGGAGGGAGTTTGGGTGCAGAAGGGGTGAGAGGTTGGGCTCTGGGAGGGAGTCTGGGGTGCAGGTTCTGGGATGGAGTTTGGGTGCTGGGTGCAGGCTCTGGGCTGGGGCAGTGGGTTGGGGGTGGGATGGGCTGGGGATGCAGGCTCTAGGAGGGGGTGGGGGTGCAGCACTTACCTGGGGTTCTTGGGTGGGCTGGGGGGCTTCCGCACGTGGCTTCCCCCAGGCACTGCCCCCACAGCTTCCCATTGGCTGCAGGGGCGCTCGGGGCAGGGGCAGCGCGCGCGGAGGCACAGCCCGGGGCTGCAGGGAGGGTCCGGCAGACATGTGGAGCAAGCAGGCAGAAGCTGCTCAGCTCCACTGCGCAGCTGGTGCCCTGGGCGCGATGCATGGTGGGCCGGGGGGGGGAGCACCAGGGGGTGGCAGGCAGGGCCAAGGGAGAGACCCGGCCCCAAAATTGCTGGAGCCCTGCGGGCCACATTGGGGAGGTTCTTGGGCTGCAGATGGCCTGTGGGCTGGGAGTTTGAGACCCCTGGTCTAAGTAGTACAGTGGATTTGTACACTCACCTTTCGCTGCTGGAGAGCAGGAGTTCAAAGCCCAACTTGGGGCACAAGAGAAAATGGTTTCCTATTAGTCCTGGTTGGCTCACTAGAAATTGCACAATTAACTGTCACTGTTCAAGTGCAAGACAGGGCTAGAATAGCAAGGGGAGGTGCACAAGGCCACAGTCAGGGGCATTGGCTGAGCTGGGCAGGGAAACACATGCTAACCCTGGCTCCAACTGCCAATAACCTCTCGCTTTCAGGAGCACTGAAGAATAATGGTACTCCCTTCCAGCACTCCTCCTCAGAGGACTCCCCTATGTTAACCATGCAACGCCTCAGTGCGCTGCAATAGGTATCAAGGATCATTATCCCCATCTTGCAGACAAGGAAGATAAATTTAAGGTCTAGCCTTGTTGAAGATGGATTTTCATCTGGCGGGCACAATCTGCACAAATTATACCTGTAGTGTTTTTTCCTTGTCTGCATTAATTGTGAGCGCAAAATCCTGCTCCTTGGGCAGATAAAGTCCTGATTTGCTCCTTGAACAAGATACTTAACTGGCTCAAAAGTAGGTTTGAGCCTGTAACTAGCTGCAGGTTCAAACTATGCTTGCAAAGAGGGAGGCTGGGCTAATGCCTAGTTAAAAATAAAGCACTGAAATGACCTGTCCAGGACTACTAAGAGAGCATCAGTGTTGGAACAGGAATTAGGGCGTATGAGATCCCGGCTCCTAGACTTTACTTAGGCCACCACATGTCGTCATCACATCTCCTCTTTTCCACCCTCCTGCTCTAATTTAGAAATGTGGAAACTCTGAACCAAATCATTTCCTGTGGCTAACGTTCATGTGTACATTAATCACGTTTTAATTAAACTTCTCAAGTCTGTTCATGTCTTTTAGAGGCTTTTTAATTAATCACTGCTGGTTGCTGGAGCCTGAGCTCCAACTGTCTTTGCACAAGCATGTAAGAAAATGTCAATGTGGCAGTTAGCAAGCAGGACACAGATAATTATGAGATCATGGCTTTCCATTGACAGTCTGTGTCACTGAGGGAAGCCAGAGCAAAAATTTCAACAGCTACGCTTTCATTTGACCCTAACGATTTCTAAAGTTTCTGTAATCTGTGTCTGATTAGCAGCGACGGGAACGAGAGGTGAGAACTACAGGATTCCAGTGGTGCCAGGAGGAGGGGAGAACCAAAGGTCTCTTGCCATTCTGACCCGAGAGGTCGTAATCTGAAAGCCTGATTCATTAGTCTGAGAAGGGTAAAGCTTCCTCATAGCAATGTTGTGTCAGGGAAGGTTAGGAGCGGGGAAGGTTAGGAGCAGGGTAGGTCATGTTGGCCTCCTCTTCTTTTTATTCACTTACATGTTCTAAAATCCACTCCTCCTAGCAGTCTGGGCACGTGGACAATGTACCTGCACCCAAGAACTGGTCAGCCTATGTCAACCGAGAACAAACTGACCCAGTAGCATAGAAAGTATGCAGGCAAAGTGAGTCTGAGTCACGGGCCCACTAACAAGAATACACTACTCCCTGCCAGAAGAAAAGTCTAGGGAGGCCACATTAGCTAATGGAAATGTTGCAGAGGCGTGAGCTGAGATGACATTTGAGCCGTTTTCTTTGAGTTCCACTAGTGCACTCAGTGCTGAGGAAACACCATCTCTTTCCCAGGGTCTTCTACAGAAACAGACAAAATGGTTCCTTTCTGTCTGGGATTCTGGCCAGAGCTGGGGTTGGTGCAGGCCCCCTGTTGAGATGGTTTTGGAAAGGCTTTGTGAAGTCCAGGTGTTGTAGGGAGTGATTTGGAGGAGGAGGGCTTGTTTGGTGGATGGGAAGAGGGAGTCTTTCCATGCACATGGGATGGAAAAGGATACAGAGGGTGCTCTGCTCTGTACTTCACTCCACAGGGGATATTGGTCTGTGTCACTAACCCATTGCACAATTTGGCATGACAGTTTCTGCCTCGGAGAGGCCTGTGCCTTGGAGAGCCAGGTTTACGTACCTAAATATAGACGTGCCTGAAGCTAGTGAGGTCATTTCTATACTTTCAAAAACACTAAAGCTCACTCCAAAGGCTAGATCATTCAGTTTCAGATGGAAAGAAAGCAGGGTGAGGCTGTGACGCTCTGGTTAGCGATGGTCAGAGAGCAGAGTTCAAGTGGAGCACCCTGGACAACAGCTGAAAACCTCTCTGCTTTCAGTAGGAGGTGGAATACTGGAAACTGCTCTGGGCACAGTAGGATCCATTTCAGGAAGGTGGGCCAATGATCTCTATCGTAGCATATGAGGCTTATATTTTATGGCTTCCCTTACAGACCTGTCTGTCAATCCCTGACATCAAGACAGCCTTTAGTGACTGCATTAACAAAATTGGGAGGAGAGACTGCCTGACGCAGGCCTGCTCAGCTCTCACTGGGTAAGTGTGGGTCTGGACAGTGTCCTGGGGAAATACTGCCGCAACCGAGTGTACGTTGCTAGAATGAGCTAACCACGTGCAGGGTGCTTAGAGAAGCGGGGCAGGGGAAAGGAGGACAGCATTGTGGGCCTCGGGATTTCTGTGTGCACTGCTCGTCTGCACTAAAAGCAGGTACCCTCCCTGGTTCACGAACTTGCTTAGTGCTATAGGACCTTGAGACTTTGGATTGTGCAACAGTTGGTGACGGCTTTATTGCCTAATGACGCAGCACCATGATCCCAGTTGCATGAGTTAACTTTTCCGCAAGGCATTTTCCACAGAAAACCAAATGGGAATATGACTGCGTTTGTGACTCTTGGCAGTGGGAGGGGTGGGTGGGTGGGTGTCTGCTCTCAGAAAAAGAGAAGTAACTACCCTCTTGCCATCCTTCTGGTTTCTCAGGCAGGAGATGTACTTACATTTCAAAGTAGATAGGCCTGAGAACAATACTGCAGCATGCATGCACAGGTGACTGAGGTGCTGCTTGTGCTTAGAACAAGGGGGTCGAAGTCAGGTGATCACCCAGTGTAACCTTGGGAAGAAAAATCACTTAACTTCTCCAAATGTTGCCCTCTGTTCTGTGGGGCTAACAATCACTACCTACTTTGTATAAAGCTCTTAGGATGAAAAGTATTACTCTGTATAAATGCAAAGTCCTATTATGAGTGGTTAGAAAAGGCTACAAGGCAGGCTCTGAATCCAGTTCAGGTCGAGCGTACCCTGCCAGCTTTGATTAGTTGGCAGCAATGCTTTGCAAGCCTATGTCAGGAATACCAGAGAGAGCAGGAGAAAAGAACCTTCTCAAATAGGAGAGCTACTGATGTAACCCTTGCACAGAAGTAATTTCCACCAAGGAAATGAACAAAAGCTCGGTATCTAGGTGATGCCTAGAGCAGGAATGGGTGCCAACAGCCATGTGAAATGCAGCCTTTCCAGTTCCCAGAGTTGTGCGCAAACACTCTGATCTCTGCGGAATTTTCTTCCCAAGTGTTGTTCTGAGTTTGGGGTTTGAACTAATGGAAAATTAATTGAGAAACTCAAACGGTGCTGAAGCCTGGCAGAGCTGTGAGTACCCAATCACAAAGGGGGGCCCTGCAAACTGGACTCAGGTGAGTCTGGGAGGTTTGCAGACCTGGGCATAGAGCTGGCCAGACATTCAGAGTAAAGTCCCTACCCTGCCGAACGTTGAGTGATTTGATTTGATGCTTTGCATGAGCCTTTCACGCAGCCACTAAGTACCAGCAAATTGGATCTAAAACATGGTGTACGAGCTGGGACCCACATCAAAAGGCATAAACAGGGAACCGAAGAGAGGAATATTTTTAAAATTTGATGCATACAACTGAATCCTGTTCCTCAGATGTGTGAGGAGCCAGTGTAATAATCCAAATGAAGGATTGCAGGGAATAGAGAGAACTAAACATGCTGGGGTGGGTGGTAGGCATGGCATGGCATGGTGGGGGCCATGACTGCTTTTTGTCTTGTGTTTCCTCAGCAATGGGGTGAACGAGGGAATTGAGTGGATGGTGAAATGCGTGGTGAGGAACATTCACCGGCCCCCCAGGCAGAAGGACATCACGTAAGAAGGTGCTGGGTAACTGAGGCCTGGACAGCTTCTTCCCATACAGACTGCTCTCTCTACAGAAGAAGGTCCACAGGACTCCTATTACACCTGATTCTTTCGTTGTTTGTTTGTTTTTGGAGGCAAACATTCTTTTTCTCTATCTAAAAAGAACTGTAAGAGCAAAGGATTTGGACTAGAAAATGTTTCTAGTGTTGTGTATTAATCCCTTGGCCTGAGAGCACGCAGCCTTCACAGATACTGAGTGGTAACTCATGCTGCAGCCAGGCTGTGCAACTGCAGAGGATTTAGAGATTTGAACTTCATCGCTTTAGGCTGTGGGATGTATGATTCTTGGGTTCTTAATCTAATAGATGCTAGAGGCCAGTTCATTGGATTCTCATGTTCCAGTCACTGATGGAAGCTACTTCCAAACCTTAATTGTATCAAAGGTGGTAGCTCTGTGTGTGTGAAGGACAGAGGGGAAAGGTCTGCACTCCACCACCCCAGTGATCATTGGAGGTGGTATTACTGGCCTTATTTATGCAGTTGTTAATGCAATGGGTAGGGTCAATGTTGATTATAGTTCTATTTCCACTGTGGCAAAGTGAGCTGTGACTGTACAGTACCGCGGAGATGGAAGCCAGCACCCCAGCAGCTGCGTGATGGCATGTAAGCTCACAATGGGCTATTTTAACTGGAAAATGACCTTCAGAAGTGTCGCCTCGTGTTGATTGTCAATAGCACTATTGTGCTGTCTGTCTAACTGAGAGAATACCTGGTGTCTGTACTGTAATTAGGAGGGATTGAGGCCCTCTATATGTGTGTTCCAGGATGAAAGCTGTGCCTGTAAGCTGGGTGGGATAAGTATACAATAAAGCTTCATGCTGCTCTGCCTGTCTCCCTTGCTGATGTAGTTGTTTAATAGGCCTCCACACTAAAGAGTTAGTGGCACTCGCCCTTTGCAGCAAGCTTCTGGTCACTGGAAATGAAATAGAATGCAAAAATGCCACTCTCCCAGCCAAACCCCAGGCCTGTTGGGTGCCTGCTAAAGTGATCATAAACTATTAATGAGTCAGTACCCTCACAAGTGCTCCGTTAATTCCTCTTCTGAAACAAGACACTTGAGTGAAGTTTATGAGGTGTTGGCAGGGGTGATTGGGTGCTGTGGCTATACTAATATCTGGACATGAATGAGTGATAATTTCACAAGAAGGTAAAGTGGCATTTGTTTAAACCTTTGATGCATTGCATTAACGTGCCAAGTTCCTCTGAGGTTTTTCTGTGTAGTTTAAACTGAAAGCTGTGAGATAAAGGCTACAACTACTCCACTCACCTCCAGGACAAGGGGCTGAACCAGCTCTGAGCACCCTGTAAGAACCTGAGGACACAGTGACATCAGTGGAAGCTGTACGTGCACACTGGAGAGTAGGCGCAGACCTATGCCAGCAGTGATGGGAAAGGGAGTTCAGAAAGATAGTCATCCCATAAAGTAGGATTTTGGCAAATAGTCCTTTTGGAGAGGGAGGGGCTAGGGGTTGTTTTTTCAAACAGGCTGAACCCTATCTAATCCAATGAACTAGATCTGACAGATGTGAGTCCTGTCCCTTAATATACTACTGGAACCATGGGAATGAGGGTGGTATAAGGGGGGAGGAATAGCTCAGTGGTTTGAGCATTGGCCTGCTAAACCTAGGGTTGTGAGTTCAGCCCTTGAGGGGGCCACTTAGGGATCCAAGACAAAAATTGGGGATTGGTCCTGCTTTGAGCAGGGGGTTGGACTAGATGACCTCCTGAGGTCCCTTCCAACCCTGTGATTCTGTGTGAACCTCTAAAGAATAGCTGGGTTGGCTGCCGCAACAGCCTAATGCTATATTGGAAGCATAGATCTGAATCACTGAGAACTGACTGCCTTTGAATTAATCTTTTCTGACAACATCTCAAACCCTGCGGTGAGAGTGTTTAATAGTGGATGTGTTGGCAAATGCTGTGTTTTTTCTACAGCTGACCATAGCCCCAAGATCTGCAGAGAGCAGGGAATGTACCAAGAATCCTGACCACGAGCTGCATAATGGAAAAATCCACTGATGCACAGGCCTTCTCACACAGAGCCCAGGACTGTGTGTTACAGGATGCATGTAAAGGGCTACAAACAAGGCATGAACCTATTGCAGAAGATGTTGAGAGCTATATTGTTTGCACTTAACCCAGGGTAGGTGCAGAGTATATCCACTGCAGACAGTAGGATTATTCTGAATTTACCCCACTAAATGGGGGCAGAATTTGCGCCATTTGGCTTTTGAAGTGATTCCAGTTTGGAGAAGGGGAAAAGCCAGCGTGTCTGGATGAGTTACAGGAACAGTTTCAGGAGGCTGCATCACTGTTCGCAGCACCATTGTGGGATTTCTTCCCTCTTGCACCAATAACTGATGTTAGCTCGTTATTGTTTACACAGCAGGGGAAGGGAACAGGTGTGAAGTGGCCTTCCTAAGGAGGAGCACAGCAGTTACAGATTTCTTCTTCCTTTAAAACAGAAAAACCTCCTTGGAGGTGTTCTCAGCTGCCCGGACTCTCCATCTCTGTGCTGAGGTAAGAATAAAGAGGGAAGGGTGAAGTGAAGGAGAATGTTTTCTCAGACAGCAGTCCAAACGTCCCTCTTCCTTTAGGAAATTCCAGCAGACCCCTGCAGCACGTAACAACGCTACACAAGACGTCAGGGGGAAAAAGAAAATTCTTTACTTGAAACTCATGGGGAACTGGAGACTGAGTGTAATCACTCAGTTTGAATGTAGCCAGGGCCCCAGGCCTGAAACAGCCTGGCTCAGAAGAGCCAGACTCCAGTAGATTTAACACAGGGACTACAGATTCTGTTCACCAGCAGTAAGGTGGTCTAACCATAACTCCCTTCTCATGCACAGTCTGTTGCTCAGTGGAACACTTGCCGTAGTGAAAGAGAGACAGCTGGCTCCAGTGGTTGAATTCATTGAAATTCTCAACCTTAAACTGTGTGAGACAAAGCCACTGAAGGGATCTAGGTGCCCAAGCCCCATTAAAATGAATGGGACTTGGGGATTCAGATAGCCCAGGCAGCTTTGAAAATCTGAGTGTTTTTAGTGCATTGGTTTAGGCCTGTTCCTCTCCGGGACAGAGAGGCCAACAGGCACAGTGACATAAGTGAAACAGCAGATAAAAGGAGACCTGCCTATTTGGTGGTTTTTTTACTGAGCAGTTGCTTTGCACAGGGTTATAAGGAATAGGCCCTTTCTGTTTAAGTGGATGCCAGGGGCATTTCAGCCTTTCTACCACTCTCCCTTTCCCTGTGGATGTTGGGAGGATGGTGTCTCATTCCTAAGCCAAAGCCATAATTGTTCTAACATCCAGAAAGTACAGTCCAGCCTGAAGGGCAGAATAACTTCCTCCTTCGCTGCAGTCTGAGTGGGGGGGGGGGGTCTGAATTTAAGCAACGCTCATTACATTAAATCCAAGTTAAGAGTGGAAAGCACCAAACTTTCCTTTTCCCGTCAGCTCTTTATGAAGTCAGTCATGTGATTTCCTCTCTCTGCAGCAGCTCTGCCCAGTGCCCTGCTCTCTCATACTTGCTTATTGTTCAGTATTTCTAGAGAGCAGCAGAGGTGGGTGTGGTGCTTTGCAGAGACAATGGGCCCTGGCCTGAGACCCTGACAGTTAACAGCTCCCAAACCTGCAAGCTGCTCAGCACTGTTAAAACCCTTTGCAGGCATGGAGCTCCATGGCAGGCTATGGGTTCTATACAGAGACAGGGCTGCCCAGGAAGAGCTGCTTGTAGAATGGGGCCTTGACATTCCTGTTATAACTAATCCAAGCTCTGCATGGTGCCCTGATCGTTTCCCCATTGACATTTAAATCCATCGAATAGCCTGGAGAGGAGATGAAGTAGTTTTGATCAACAAAAAGGAAATCAAGTTGTAGCAAAGTGGAAGACCAAGCACCGAGGCGATCAGGAATAACCCAGTATATTGATGGGTGCCCCTCCTGGCACTACCCCGAAGAAAGCGCCTGAATACAGCTTCTGTTACCATAAAACATTAAGTGAACCTTGTTGCCTGTTGTTCTCTTACTCTGGTATGACCAGACTTTGAAACCATGTTGTGTGGCCTTGCAGTTCAAGCTGGCAAGAATTCCGAATGCCCCAGGTTTGCTCCTGGACAGAAAGGCAAATGTCAGCTCGATAGCTATTCACCTCCCCTTTCCTCTTCCTGAGGAAAGCTGCTTTCCTTTATCTTGCCCAGTAGATGAGTTGCAGATTTGCCACCTTAGAAACCAGTTGTCTGGTTTGCCCCCACTCAAATGATGCTTGAAGTCTCTGAAAAAGCATAGTCCCACTTGTGAGCAATCCTCTGATAACAAACCACTGCATGCTCAACGAAAGGGGAGACCAGTAAGGCCACAGATATCAGTTCCCAAATGGTCACTTAGTTCACATTTTTTTCCAGCTATTCACTATTTTAATTCTTTAAAGCGGTACGTCAAATTCCACGGGGTATAGGTTTTGGACAGTAAACTGTTGAGAATGGAAAGCATTCATGCTTAAGCCTCTGTCTTCACGTTAACCTTTTCAGTCACAAAAAAATGCAGCAGATAAATACAGAGGAAATGCCATTTAAAAGGAATGATTTATAAACAGATCAGTGTTTTCTGTGAGGTGCCAAATTCTCTTCAACAGCCTTTTACCTGATAAAAGAACAAGGAGGACTTGTGGCATCTTAGAGACTAACATTTATTTGAGCATAAGCTTTTGTGGGCTAAAACCCACTTCATCGGACGCATACAGTAGGAAGACACACAGAGAGAGAGAGAACATGAAAAAATGGGTGTTGCTATACCGACTATAATGAGAGTAACGTTGGTGGATGATGGCCTGCAGCCTCCCAGAGACTACAGGAGACCAAAGGGACTTGTTTTGCATTACTAGCCACGCCAGTTTTGTTCTGACACTAGTACTTCGCGGGTGCTCAGTACTTACGGCGGAATGCGAACACGTTCTTCCTGCTGCCCATAAGGAATCAGACGCCACCTAATGTTAGTGCTGTCAGACTGTTTGAGAAGGGGCCAGCTGCATCAGGCTAGCTGTACAGACTAGCAGGCAGGTCAGCAGGCTGCAACGTTCACAAGGAGGGCAAGAAGCAGCCTATGAGGGAGGGCCGCAGAAGCAAGGGTTAGCTCCTAACATGACGCCAGTCCCTGCTCTCTTCCTGCACCACAGCCAGACACCTCAGACCTACCTGACAGGGTCCATTTAAGGAAACCGTGTCTGTGTCAGTCTTTGCCAGCATTACAAATAACGTGCTCATCCCACCCAGTCAAAGGCTTTCCCTGCACCCAGGGAGCGAACAGCAGGTGGAGGTCGGTGTGCCAGGGAGAAGGGGACAGTTGTTAAGTATTCTTGCTATGTTTTCCAGGGCACAGCTGTTGTGAATAAATCCAGCTTAGTTCTGTGAGGGAGGCAGTGGCTAAATGCTTTGCCTTGGTCTTTTCCAGTATCGTAACAGTGCAGTGAGTTATCTGGGCCATAGAGCTGTACAGCTACCTCTAACTCCAGTATTGCGATATGCAAGTACAGCCTGGGCCTGACTCGCCATGACCACACGCAATTATTGATGCCAGTGAAAATTGACACATTTTACACCCACTTTGCACAGATGTGACACAAGCGTTCTAGAGTTATGAAGACTCAACCCCCATGTGTCTGCATGACGACACCTTGGGGCTAGGCAACCAACCCTACATCATAGAACTGTGCAAGGGCACTTACATCATAGGTCTAAAAGACTAAACAAATATTTCTAGGTTGTACGGCTCATCTTTATGGCTCATTCTCCTTGTTGCAGAGACTAAAAAAATAGGGATGGGGTAATTGATCTG